GGGATGAAGTGAGGATCCTGGAATCATAATTAAGCCGACAGTGGACTGCGGAAGAAATTTATTAGCAACAGAAATCTGGTGTCCAATGGTTAAAGAAGGAGGATAAAAACTCTTCTTACTTCCATACGGTCACAAGGGCGCGCAGAAAACATAATTTCGTCCTTGGGCATTGGATTACGGAGAACAAGGGAAAGCAGATATCGCTGTTAATTTCTACCAGCATTGTTTATCTCAAAGAACCATATTCCGAACATGGCTGAGAGAGTGGCGAGCCTCCCCATTGCCTCCAATGTTACTCTAGATATGAATGCTACTCTCACTGCGGAGGTCCTCCCGCGATGGGGTCCAAGCAGGCTCTGGGATCTGATGGATTCACAGGAAGTTTTTTCAAGGCTTTATGGGTATTGTTGGGGACTTAGTAATTGAAGAAGTCAGCTCGTTTTTTGCTACGAGTAAAATGCTACGCAACTTTAATCACACCTGGCTAACTTTAATCCCAAAGGCGGATCAGGTTGAAACCATACGTCAGTTTTGACCTATCAGTCTATGTCAGTTTGTGTACAAATTTATCACTAAAATCATGGCAGAACGACTGGCTGCTATTTTGCCCCAAGTCATCTCTGAGGGTCAAAATGCTTTATTCGTGAACGGAAAATTGTTGAAAAATATCCTCCTAGGAAACGAGTTGATGCACTACCTAAGAATAAAAACACGTGGGAAGAAAGGCTCTATGGCTCTAAAGGTTGACATGGAAAAGGCCAATGATAGAGTCGAATGGTCCTTCCTAGTTGGCGGTGTTGGAGAAGATGGTTTCAACTCTGTCTGGAGTGGATGGATATTTGAGTGCCTACGATCTACATCGTTCTCTGTCCTCGTGAATGGTACCCCTCTGGCTTCTTTCTCTCACTTCAGGGGACCCACTCTCTCCTCTCCTCTTTGCGATTTGTACTGAAGGCTTTGCAGCGCTTCTTCGTAGAGCCATTTCGGAGGGTAAGTTGGAAGGAGTTAAGGTGTCCCCTAGAGCCCTCGTATATCTCATCTATTCTTTGCTGATGATTCTTACCTATTCCTCAGAGGGTCTCTCCAGGAATGTGAGAAATTAACGAAATGCTAAATGAGTATAGGAGTTGATCGGGGTCAGCGGGTTAACCTGAATAAATCGTCGGCGGTCCTGGTTTAGCAAAATATTGCCATGCCAGACCAAGAGTTCTTGGCTGCGATTCTGGGTGTGTGGGGCGATAGGGTCCAGGATAAATACCTAGGCCTTCCGACTTTGATTGCCCAATAAAAAATGGCGATGTTTTGCTATTTAAAGGAGAATTTCCAAGAAAAACTGCAAGGGTGGAAACGAAGAACCTTGTCCTGGGCTGTGAAAGAAACCTTGATCAAGGATGTGGCATTGGCCTTATCTATGCATGTGATGTCGTGTTTTAAACTACCCCTTTCCCTTTGTCGGCTCCTTGACAGGCATGTCGCCCGATTCTGGTGGGGTGTTGAGGATGGGCAGTCTCATATCTGGTGGATGTCATGGCGTAATATGTGTCGCAGCAAGCATGATGGTGGAATGGATTTTTGTCGATTTGAGCATTTCAATGAAGCTCTTTTAGCCAAGGTTGGATGGCGAATACTGAATGAACCCCATTCTCTTTTATCCATGTTTACATGGAGAAGTAATTTCCCAATGGTTCCTTCTGACGGCTACAGCTCGGTCCCGTCCTTTTGTGGGGATGGCAGAGTATTTTATATGGGCATCACTGCTTGAAACGGGATGCGGTGGCAGGTTGAGAATGGCTGGACGATTTGACTCCTTAAGTCCTATTGGATCCCCCAGAATCATCCTTGTTCCTCGATTTATAACCCCTGTGTGCTAGCTGTCGAAGGGGATTTGCTGGTTGCGGGGGTGATTCGTCCATGGGAGGGACGTTGGTGTGATCAGAAACTTAATCAGTAGTTTCCCTTCCACCTGTCAAGCTATTAAGGCTACCCCTTTACCTGGGCAGAATATTGAGGATCGTCTGATTTGGCATGCTACTACTAATGGTGAGTTTACTGTTAAGTCAGCATATCATTTTGCGGTTCTCCTTGATCATCAGAAAGGGGGATGGAAGTCTTCTATAAGCTGGATGGATCGGACTAGCTGATCAGTTATGGGGGCAAACGTCCCTCCGAAACTAAAAGTATTCGTCTGGCAAATCTTTCACCGAATCTTGCCAACGAGTGAATCTCTGATTGAAAAGAAGGTCGATGTGCTTCCTAGGTGCTCGGTGTGCTGGGCTGCGTCAGAGAAAATGGAACATTTGTTTCTGCATTGTCCAGTGGCCCATGCTCTCTGGGATATGACTGGCCTTCAGTACCTTGGGGAAGGATTGCCGCGACATACTTTTCCTCTTTACCTAAAGATTCTATTATCTGTGATTCGCCAGCCTCTACCGGTCGTGGCAGTGATCTCTGTCCTCTGGCGGATTTGGCAGTCTCGCAACTGGGTTGTGTTTGAAGGAAAGCAATTTGGATTTTCGGCCAAGGTACTGGGCTTCTCTGCCAAGGTACTGTGCCCCCCAAATCCTAGTGCCTCAACCTCTTCACTTCCAGACGTTGTGTTGGCTGCGGCTATATGTATGTGGGATGGGGCTACAAGAAGAGGTTCGCACTATGCTGGGGATGGTTACTTTGACCCCGCTAGGGAAACCTTTTTGGGACAGGGGGTTCAGTTTATAGGCATTGATGACCAGATGGTGGTGGAATTGCTTACCCTTCGTGAGGCTATGTCCAGGGCCATCGTCTAACACGGATCCCATATGAGAGATAATGCACTATTTTTAATCCCCTATTTTTCTTAATTAGATTCTAAAACATTCGTTTAAAATTGAAATTTAAAAATTTTGTATAGAAACCCCACATTTATTATGATCTACACAATATTAAACATTTTGCTATATTTTGAGCAAAGAAAAAACTAACTTTATTAAAATACATGTCTGTTATACTATTAGCACTACATAACATCATGATATGATGTTGGTACAAGGTATTTTTTAAACAAAACATTAAAAATGAATAAAAATTTGTAGATTTTAATTAATGTGTTCTTTCTATACATTTTTTTTTATTTTGAGTTAAAATTTAGGATCTCATAAATCATACCAACATTCTATCACTATCATATCATTATCATTAATTAAGATCTACACAATGACACTCATTTTGTTATGTTTTGTCAAACATAAAACTTTATACCAACATCATATCACAGTGAATCAGTGATATCGAGTTTAATTTGTTATGTTTTTTCTTTTTACTGTATTTGAGCTCGTTTAGTAATCAGTGTACCCACACTTGTGAGTAAAAATTGCCATCTCCACCATGGTACAGCCTTGCGGTTCAAATATAAAGAGAATATCATCGAAAGACGAAAATGTCGATATATCCTTGACGATGAAAAGGTAATTGTCATTAGCCAACATAGTTTGGAAGATACCTAGGACGAGAGTACGATAGCCATATGGATGCCACAACAGGAATAGTCGGATTGATTTGATCGATATATCCCCGCAAAGTCTAAAGTTCTACGTACTATAAAATCGAAGCTATAGTTAATTAGGCAGCCAATCATCATCATAAAAAATGGCTTCTTTGTTGACACTGCTCTTCCCACTGCTGGCGATATTAATCATTACCGTCGGCTCCAAACCATCGTTGAAGCCGCACCCGACCTAACTTACATCTCGGCCCTCTGCGGCGGCGAAAAAGATCCCAACCCTCCTGAGCTGAGCGGTCGAGCATTCGAAGTGACAGGCTTGGCTGTTAACTTCGCCGGCCCCGACGACTTCGGCTACTGCGCCGCCGTAAAGCCCAAACCCGTGATGTATGGTTTCGGCAAGTGTCCCAAGGTCGTTTCTAAAGAAGACTGCACCGCGTGCCTCAAGTTTGCGCAAAATTGGTTGCTTAACACCTTGTGCAAGGATGTGTATGGCGGGGAAATCACTCTCGCCGTTGTTTCTTGAGGTACGAGACGTATAAATTCTGCGATGCTTAATCAAAAATCTCATTCGCAATACAGTAAATCAGTCATCTCGAGAAAAGTTCGTTACGTTTGGGAATAAGAAATGAGTTGTGTTAAGCAGTTCTTTATAAGAGTAACTGTGTTTACTGTCTTCTTTATATCTCCATAATACGAAGTGGAGAGAATATATTCGATCGTGTTGTCGGTCTGGTGGTAATGTGAAATAATACTGATAATAAAAGAAGAGCATTGATTATGGCAACGTTTTGTTGGGAAAGATGTGTGACTGTGTTGGGCTTTCATATATAGAGCTAATTAAGAATGATCAATGGCTGTATTATATATGGGTAATTATCATTATTGGTCATAAATAATATAATGATTTTTTCATGCGAACAACTATTTGCTGCCAACTTTTTTACTATTTTCTGTCAACTTTTTGAAAATATATTTTTTTATTCAAAATTGTTTTTTCAACTTATTTTTTACAACACCAAAACATCACGAACTCCTGAATTATTATACAGTTCAAAAAATGATGCTCGCTGGAAACTGACTAGAAAACTTATCGAATCATGACTCAAACTTCTCAATTCAACCAAATACATCTCGAACTCCTCAATTATCATAAACTCTAAAACAGACGTCGGCCTGAAATTGAACGGAAAACTTATCGGAGCATGACCGGAATATCAATTCAAGCGCAATCCACAATTACTGACCACTATACATTTATTTCGACAGCCGAAGGAATCCAACGGCCTGAACGCGGTGTAAGCTGAACGTCTTCTACGGCCTGGCCGGACTTGATTAGTGACGAGTGATGGCATGTAGCGAAAATTCTTCTACTCAGTTTTTTTTCAACACCATGTCATAAATTAGTTGGTTCCAATAACTCGAGTTGTTGGAAGAAGGTAATGTTGGATCTTATACAGATCCATATATGATACTTAACCACTTTCTTACACGCCGGCCCCCTCAAACGTAAGCCGACTATACCTTGGGAAAATCTCTGACCCAGAACCAACTCGTCGAGCTGGCAAAGAAGGGCAACATCGAGGAGGATGGAGCAGTACTTCCCGTGGTTATCACAGCCAACGACGTCGTGGTCGACGGGTTTTGCAGGTAACGGGTCAGGTTGGGGGCGGATAGTGCAATATTCGTTACCCTGTTAAAAATAGTTCGAGTTTTGTCAATATCCACATCGTAGAATAATCGAATAAAATATTAAAATTATTGCCGAAAATCCAATAGGATTTCGGCTATCCAACTACATCCATTTATAATAATTTCTCATTATAAGTAACACATATGCTAACATTCGCAGAGACGAAAAATTATCATAACAAATTACTAGAACGAAGAAAGCTGGTTAAGAAAATAATACAATTTCATGAAAACGATAAATATTAAATATATTGAGAAACTAATTATTATTGCCATTTCGTATTTGCAGGGCAAGGTGTGGTAACCACGGCATTGTCCCCTCGTTGTCAAAGATCAACGGGAAGAGCTCGTCGTCGAGATCGGTTTACGTCTGGGTGGGGAACTCAGAGACTCAGTGCCCTGGCTTGTGCGAGTGGCCGTTCCACGAGGCTGCCAATGGGCCTCCGAGCCCGGTCCTGGTTGCGCCCAACGGGGATGCTGCTATGGACGGAGTGGTGATCAACTTGGCGAGCCTGTTGGCCGGGGCCGTGACAAATCCATTTGGGGATGGGTATTTCCAGGGCCCAAAAGAGGCCCCATTGGAGGCTGGGTCGGCCTGTCCGGGCGTGTTCGGGAAAGGGTCGCACCCTGGATTTGCAGGGGATCTGCTCAAGGACGATAAGAGTGGTGCAAGCTACAACGCGAATGGGATTAAAGGGAGGAAGTTCTTGGTGCCTGGTCTGTTTGACCCTGCTACTTCCACATGCTCCACTGTAGGTTGAGATCACAGGATAAAAATGTGGTGTATATGCAAACCTACAAAACAATTTTGAACCCAGCCTATTGGCCGGATGTATTTTTTATTATTATTTATATTTGTTGATTTTGATTACTTCATTTATGTTTGAAATCCTTCATGTAGCTTTGTGGGATTTCGATAGAGTTTATGTGAAAGCTCAACTTATGAGCTAACTTTACAACCAATCATTCAATACTCAATGAATAATTTTTTTATCTGGTTTAGCATAACCCTAAAATATTTTTAAGTCTGAAATACTTAACTCCTAGTCGAGTAATATGGAATGTTTGCTAAGTCGCTCAGAAACATACGTATAAGCAAAGAAGAAAAATAGAGTTGTGCAATCTGAGGTGGATACTTTCTGATCATACATATAGTCAATTTCATAGCAATTTACCAATTGGTTGATATGATTATTTGGTACTTTTCATTCAATCAAGTAGAAAATGAATTACCTTTCATTGTTTTTATACCTCATAACAATTTCATGTGTCCTAAAGGCGTAGTCCCAATAGAGAATGAGAAGGTAACTCTAAAGCTCGATCATCCCACAACAGAGATTCAATATTGATTTATGATATTGCTTAATAGTTTGATTTCACTACAAGAAATTAGGTATTTTGTGATGCACTCAATTTGTCATTTTAGTGTGCCAGTTGGTCACTTTTTGTCTAATGTGACAAGTGTTATGACAAAAAGGCTTTATCAGCTTTGCTCCGTCGTATTAGGTCTAATGTGACTAAGTTTAATTTTTCGGTTGTCATAATATTGTTCGGACAACTTGACAATATATCGTTGTCATAATATGTTGTCCTACCATGACGAAAGATCTTGACACATTAGACTGTTTATTTTGTCACACTTTAATACAACCAACTGACTAAACGAGATATTATGAGGGAACTGTTTGTCATTCACATTCGTCACTTTAAGCTGTAGGGCACGTGCCCTTAGAAATCACATATGATAAAATAATTTTGTCATATTTTATGTATTCAATGACGGTCCAGTTTGTCATAATATGGATCTGCTTTGTCGTAATACCATTTATCTGACAATATATACGTCAGGATACTGAATTGTTTGTCATATTTTAAACATAAACTGATAATGGAACATTGTCATAATTTGTTTGTTCCTGTAAGCAGTAAATGTGACAAGCGAAATATACATAAAATATGTCATAAAACAAGCCGACAGTCACATTCATTTAGTAAACGCTGAATATTCAGGGTCCTAGCTCACAGCTTACAAAGACGCAAAATAGATAATATTCCTGCATCACATCACACACTCCTACATTCTGTTCGACACAAACATATTGTCCAAAATGGGTTTGCAGCCGACAAATACTTATAAATAAATCCGTTTAGGAAAACATTCTCTAAGACGCAACCTCCTCAAGTCATATGAACACACGGTCGTGCAGGGATGCGTCCACACCTGCACTTGCAATTTGAGAAGAAGCTAGATTGAGACTTCACATTCGTGCATAATTGTTCCTAACAGATTGACTAAGTTCTATAGATGAAATTCATGCATTCAATAATAGCTATGTGCCTGGTGCAATCATTTCCTGCTGAGTTTGGCGAGGACGGTTTCCATACTCTTTTGCATCTTCTCTTGTGCCAAGCGCATTTGTTCCATCTTTTCCCCTTGGTTAGCCAAACGTTCATGTTGCAGATCAAGCTCTACTTTATGTTTTTCAATCTCCTCATCCCAAGCTTTAATCTTCTCATCCTGCTCTACCAGCTTGGCCTCCAACTCCTTGGTCTTACTTTCCGCCTCTGCCTTTGCTGCTGCCAGTTCTGCTTCCAGCTGAACTTCTCTTGCCGACTTCCTCACTGCTTCTTTAGGTCCATACTTGATCTTCCTCTGCAAGACCTTCTGAACGATGTCACGACCCAGCAGTGGATTCCCATCTGCCTTTGATTGGGCATGGAGGGCCAACATCGCCTCCTATATTGCACCAAAATAAAAGTCACCACCCAAATATACAGGCCACAACAAGATGCAAAGCAAAATAAAAGTCACACCACAGTAACAGGAGGCGCATAATAAACCAGACCACAGTAATAATTGATCCCTCTTAATTCAATCAACCTATTACAATAACTATACATCGAATATCCATTCATGTTCGTGGACTAGGTACACAATATAAGAGGAGCAGAAGGGCTTACATAATTCGCTTTCGGTTCCTCGCTCACCCAAGTACCATCACTTGCCTTCTTGTGCGTGTTGGCATACAGCTCAATGTCAACGGGCACCGCATCATCATCCTCAGCATCCTGGTCATCTACCTGCTCCATTTGAGCTGCTTGTGCAGCCAGCTTCTTTTGCTCCTATACATGATAGTTCAAATGTTCAAACATGGTAAAGGTGTGGTAAGTGGCCTGTTTATCCCTAGTTTATGGTCATCTGTTCAAATTAAGATTTGTTGTTGTACAAAGATGTAAATAAAACTTAATGCTTTACCATTTCATGCACTCTCTGGTCGTGGGATTTTGCCCCAGTAGTGTGAGCATACTGCTGCTTAGCCTTGTTTTGTATGTTATTTGTGCTCCGCCCCTGCAAATAGAAATGTGTGCTGAGCTGTCATCTTGTACAAGTGTCATCAAATATCCAAACACCGCAAGTTTTACCTTGAATCGATCACTCTCAAAGTGCTCACAGAGGGCCTCCCAGTCTTCCTGTTTCACTCCTTCTGGAGGGTTCAGACGAGCTTTGGTGGGGTCTTCCTGTTCCTTGTAGTGTTTATGACAGGTGTACTTGTAGTTCAAGAAGCGTTTGTGGAGTTTCTTATCTAAAGCCTTCCTCACCTCTTCAGTAGCTGAGGAAAATGCAAACTCGCCCTGCAATTTCATCAAATTCCATGCATTCATACTATGCAATTGATAATTTTAAATTAACAAAGACAGATTACTGTACCTCTAGTTTCACAAACATAGGGTGTTTGTCTTCATCAGTCAACTCAGTCCAATAGTACTTCCTTATGGGAGCCATCATACGAGCAACGACACCAACTTCTGTGTTCAGCAACTTCTGGTTAGGGCCCACAATTGCGTGGCTGTTCTCCTGCAGGAATACTCCATCGATCCTACTCCCCCCAGTGGTTCGTGCCATCACTTGAACACCTTTGGTCAGCCCCCTCTTTCGGCCACCTATGGATGTAGGTCAAATTATAATCATCCAAAACACTAATAGAAATGTGATAATCCATGTTTCTCAAGTGACAAAAGAAGAGTTAGGATAACACGCACCTGTCTTCTCCGGTTGTTCAGGCATGGATGTGGCAGTATTATCTGCATTCTCGTCAATCTCCTCAATAGGTTCAGTAGTCCTCCTTGGAACCCTCGGAGACACCCGCTCTTCACCCCTCGGAGAGACCGCTTCAGCCCTCGGAGACCCCCCTTCAGCCCTCGGAGACCTCCCTCCATCCCTCAGAGACACCCCTTCACCCCTCTTAGACCTCCCTTTACCCCTCGGAGACCTGCATTTTTTTATCGGAGACCTCAGTGGACCCATGCACGAGCTCCCTGCATTCTCTACACTCCTCGCTGGATAGGATCTGGTCACTCGTTCAAAGACCGTCATCGGCTGCTTCCCAGTCCTGGCTTTCTTTTCAGGCCTCGGTGGCATTTCTGCTCACAGTCCAAACAGAGTTAAACCATCAGCAAATTCACAAACACTTACAAACGTATAAACTCAACAAAGATGTAGAGTAATTAAATGCAGAGTTTATTAACCCAAATTTCGCATACATTGTAAAACAATATAATTAAATGCCCCCTATACAGAACACAGTTATTGGGACATGCATCGATGATGGTGTAACCAAATCCAAGATCACGCATATACTTCTTCACCTCATAGAACGAAGTGGGAAGTGTTTCCCCATTCGGTAAACCTTCCTTGATTAATTCAAGATATTGGTTGAATGCTTTATCACTACTGTTTGTCTGTATCTTGATGTTCATCATTTTCATAACATAGGACAGTTTTGAAATTTTTTTGCAATCAGGGTAAAGAGGGAAATTGGCATCTTTGAGGAGCCTTGCCAATGCACCATTATTACTAGGACCGTGGGAAGGTTCAGCGGTTGTTAGACACTCATTCGCCCTACCAAAATCATCCAACATTTCAGACATGTCGGTCTGTAACCCACTCTCTTCATTATGAACATCGTCAGACTCAGTCGGTGGGTTTTCACCGTTACTACTAACACCATAAGACTCACCATGATGGACCCACATTTTATATGTCTCAACCATACCATGCTTAAATATGTCTCCCCGCACCTGGACTAATGTCTTAAAGTAGAGATTATTGCAGTTCTTGCACGGACATCTAACCCTACCAATTGCATCAACATGCTTAGAAGCAACTTCCATGAACTCATTAACACCCAACTCATAATCAGCACACCAATGATCTTTCAGCATTATCCACTCACGACTCATTACGCGTTAAGGTATAACTGACCTTTGATTGCAATCTGTAACTTGCCGCAGCAGGTTGTAATCGACCAAAGAGACAAATAACCTGCATGTAGCATTAAACTTTGAAATCAGTTCAAAGTAGCTCAAATCTAGTAAACAAATTATGCTTTTTTGAACTTAGAAAGGAGATAAACAGTACACCAGAGAGATAGTCAACAACATGCTTCTTCAAATCATACGCGTTTCAGAATCAACCAGATCAAGGGAAGTCATCAGAATTACTAATTCAACATCTGGGTAGTTGAGGTTATCATCAGAAGGACTAATCTTTTCAATCATGTTTCAGTCATCTTAGTTAAACCCAAACAACATGGCACATTGGCGTTTCAGAAACAACAACCATCCCCATCAAAAACCACTTTTCACAAATGTCGGCATCATCCAAATCCATTGCATCAAATTAACTCATCTCGCGTACCAGCTACAAAAATTTCCTAACAGCTATCTATGTAAGCCAATCCATACACTGGGCTTACACAAAATCGATGGCCAAACTTACTCAGTTTATCGACGGAGGGAACTCGCGGCAGGGAAGGCAGGCCGTCGAAGCAAAGGAGGGCAACTTGGTTAATCGGAGACTATTGATTCAGAGGAAAAGCCCTACCCCCTGTGCAAGAGCGCCTATGAACGACAAAGATAGAAGAAGAAACATGAG